ATAGAAAACGTCGTCACCATTCGAACTCGACTTCTTCGTTCTCTGGTTCGTCAAATAAAAGTGAGCAAACACCGTCAGATGGTCATTCCGGGCGGAGAGGGAATCGAAACTAACGTATATGCCGCAGTGAAAACAACCCAGACAATGACTTCCTTAAGAAGTTTGCTAAGATAATCCGGGGTAGAGGAAACCACTTTGAAGGCGCTCACAATGTCATTCCACAATTCGATACTGATTCTCACTCACAAACAGCAGAGGACTTGATTCGGAAGGTAAATGAGACCGCTCAAATCTATGGTTGGAGAGAGAGAGACAAACTATTTATTACGCCATACCGAAGCTAGTTGGACATGCAAAATAGTGGTATCAGGGAAGAAGCACGGTAGATTTTACGATTTTTTTTAGATTTTGAGTTGGCAGCAATGGCAGAGAAAATGAATAGGAATTACTCCGATCGACTAACAGAAATGCTCAGTAGGAGAAACAAGCGGAAAGAATCGTTAGATAGTTAGATAGATATTACCTTGCCTACTCTAGGCTTGTAAGAATGTGTGGTATCACTGGAAGGAATGCCGTTGACTGTATAATTAGTGGCATATTCGACAATGGTATACGACTCAATGCCTAAGGTTTGAGTTTTAAGATACCCGCACAGTTACTGAAGTATTTACATCGTATATCTAAAACAAAATAATGTAGTATTACGAAAGGATAGCGTGCCCACCACTGAAAATTAATCACATCAAGGTTGTAACTATGATGAAAATTATTATAATGGCAAGTCGGGTGAGCCTTCATCAGCCGCCCGAAATAAACCTAAATACGTGTTGCAGTGCTACAATTGTGCAGAGATTGGCCATGCAGCCCGAAGGCGCACAAAGCCCATAAACCGGTGCTCCAAATGTTCTAGGCTTGGCCATGACACGCAAAATGCGCAGCTAAAAATCTACCTTCAGGGCTCCAACAAAACCCTGAAAACACTACTGATGGAAAGGCGAACAAATCTCAAAACCGCCTTAAAGATAACGTCGACGGATCAAGCGAATAGTATTAGTATTTTAAGTGGGTCAGCCTTAACGGCATGCGTTGTTCTGCTCATATCGATTTCGGAAGCCAATGTACTTTAGTTAAAGAATCAGTCGTTAGGGCGTTAGGTTTGGCACTTAATAGTATAAATCTTCCTGTTATTACGGGATTTGCCCTTGGAAGTGTTACCCCCTTAGCTAGAACGGTAGTTACGATAGTAGTAGACGTAGTAAAAGCGGATGTTGAAGCGTACATTGTTCTTGACAATTTACTTAACACAGACGTCCTCATCGGACAAACATTAACCGAGCTTCCTACCGTTGCGGTTCACAAGACAAGCTCTGAACTAACTTCATATTGTGACAATGAAGATGTGGAACGAATAAAAGTTCTAAATACAGAGATCGCCAATATTATCGAGTTAGTAAACATCGATGTTCATACAGAAAACGAATACACAGGATTACTATTCATCCCGGGAAATGTGTGCGTGAAACCTAATAATGAATAGGTATATGTTATTACAAGGTATTTATCAGTTTGAAAATGGCAAGTATTGGTACGCAAAAAGAATAACGAGTACCGTCTTTGCGTCGATTATAGGGCTTTTTTGTCGTCACGCCGCGAGCAAATGGGCAAATCGAGCGGTACAACCGTACCATACTTAATTCACTGTCCGCGACGAACCACGCGCTGGATGAGAAAGAACGGGATACAAATGTCGCCAAATTACAGTGGGAGTCTGAACAATACTATCAATAAGAGTACTGGGAAGTCACCAGCTGAAATTGTATTTGGACAAAAAACGACATGCCTAAGTGAAGGAGGAGCTCTTGAGACGGAAGAACAGATGCCGAATACTGCTAGGCAAGAAATGAGGGCGAACATTCAAGAAATGATAGAAAGGGGACAAAAGAAAATGAAATAAAATTTTGATAAAAATAGAGCCCCTACGAAGACTTTCAAAGAAGGTGATTTAATAATGATCCCCAATAATAATCCGGAAACGGGAAAAAAGCAAAAAGTTCCGAGGTCCATTTAAAGTTATAACGGTACAAAATAACGACAGGTACGAGGTATCTAGCATTGCAGCATGAACTATACTGTCTTTACTTACCTATACTGTCTTTGCGAATGCAAAGACATATATCCAGATGACCAACTTAAACCTTGGATCACTTTATGTACATCTCCTGTTGTTAGTGAAGACAGCGACAATACTGAAGCAAACTGACGATTGATGAAATATCGACACTTTCTTATTTACGTACTGCTATATTTTATACGGCACGGCACCAACACCGAACGTCACAGCACTGGTATCCGTGGCTTTCAGCCATCCGAAACGGATGGATAGACATAGACGGAAGCTAAGTCAATGGCTCGCGGGTGGCCTTCATTGAACGATGAAATAAAATTGGTTATTGAATGACACAGGACAGTGATTATCGATTAAACGAATGGAAGATGTAATATGATTTAAGTGTTCTAGCTGAATATTGTGTTATAATGTAATTATGATGTAACAGAAAGTACTATTTAGTCGAATATTGACAACTTTACTTTATTGAATTATTTTTGTATAAGCCAAATAATTGCTGGAGGGGCATTATTTATCCTATTGTTTTTGCAAAATTCTAGTAATTTATACATTAATTGTTAATCATCCATCTGGTATGAGGTCATACCCCGCTAGAATGGCCGAGTCGGATCGGAATGAGGTCATTCCGATTGCAGGGTGGCCGCTTGTTAGCCGTTGCTTATCTATCGTAAGAATAATCAGTAACAAACTAATTCAAAAAAGTATTTTTGATTAATTCAATGGAAGCGCGCGGTCGCCCTGCCAGTGAGAACCGAGACGCCAAACCCTACGATTGTCAAAAGTGATAGATAAAAGTATTTGTATTTATAATTTAAAGAAAAATAATATATAAAGTATAATCATCTGAACTGGTGTGTATCATTGACCGAGGTTCCTGTTATAATATATCTAGATCATAGATTTATGGGTCGGTACCTATAAACTAAATCTATGATCTAGATATATGTCTGTGATTATTACAATCATCAGCAATATATTCTACTTTTATACAAATCGTGAAATACAACGCGGTTTTAGCATTACTGAAAACTACCTATAAGTTTTTGGGCATCCAACAGATATATTAAACATAATTGAAAAAACAAGCTTTTAAAATCATAATAATAAAACAAAGAAAAAACACAACTGAGAGTCGTATTCCAGAACTCTATTCAATGCTCAAGTCAGGACTTGAGCAGACTTGAGTATGATTTCAAGCACTGGAAATACGACTCTAATAGCAAGGACTGGAGTATGATTTTCAGTGCTTTAAATCATACTTAAATCCTGACTTGAGCATTGAGTAGAGTTCTAGAATACGAGCCTGAGTCAACAAACAAACAAACAAATTCGAAATAGATGGTTTGTAACTCAGTCGCGCATTGTGTGATTTTTGAAAATTAACTAGCAGTTAGTATTTTCATGTTTAATTTATCACTAAGTTGTCATAAGCACATCGTGTGCACCCCACACTTGTCAAATTTGAGATTATGTACCAACGTTCTTAAAAACCCGTAGCTATTTTAAGTACCTACCTCGATACAAAGTGCATTGATGGCTAATCTGAATATGCAGCTACTACTTATACAAGTCAAACGAAACAAAATTTTTCTCGCATATTTTTTTTTTAGTGATAGATAAAAGTGGTAAAAAAATAAATTCATCGACGCCTCTGGGAATCTGTACCGCTAGCTCGCTGTCGACTGGGAAGAGGGAGGAAGAAGCTCACCTGGTACGAATTGCATCAAATTGCAAATCGCGTTTCTGAATATTGGCGCAGTTCATAGTGTACACCTTGGTTCATTGATGACCATCCTACCCTACCGGTAATAAAAAGTGGGTAGGTACATAAAGATCCCACAAAATCTCGACAAAAATAAAAACAACACAGGTATGTAACAAACCTACTTTATGCCTTTAGGCCTTAAGGCCGTCTAATACATAAAGCCACAATGTTCACTTAGTTCACTAAGAATCCGCTACATGGCATTGACCCATTTGGCGTTATTTCTGTATCGCGGTGTTAAGGAATTTCCCTCGAATACTTTTATATACGGTTTTAGCCAGCGGCTTCTTTCTAATATTTATAGCCGTTTTTATAGAATAATTTAAGTTTTTACTCCCTTTGTAATAAGTTTCAATTCCGTTCAGTAAGTTGATTTTGTATTTAATGAATTTTAATGTAATTTTCTTTGTTACTTATTTAATGCGAATTTTTGGATTGTTAAAAATAGCAATAAAGTGTAATGTAATTATATTCCTAATATAACACACAAAGTTTTAATAGAAGTATTATAAGATTATACATAAATTATAAAATACCAACTCTTCCTATAATAAAACAAATATACAAAAATATTTTACTTTGTTAATAAATAGGTTTATAGTAACTGCTGCAGATTTTTTCATCCGCTCTTTCTGGTAGTAATAAGTACCTATGACCCTTGTGAGTGAGCAAAGAACGTCATCCTATCTCACTCACTCCCATCGCCGAAATGGCCCGATTTGAAGAGAACTACAACTTACTACAACGAATTGGCGCCAAAGTGCAGCCAGCCTGAAGTAAGATGAGATCCAGACGTGAACTCTTTGCAAAGAGTGAGGCAAAACGCTGGTTCATTCCGTGGCTTAGTTGGTATAGCGTCTGTCACGGTATGCTAGAAGACGTCGGTTCGACTCCGGCCGGATCGAAGGAATTTTATCTGAGTGTTTGATCTTTGTATTAATAATTATAACAAACTAGTGGAGTAATTTCACAAAAAATAATTGAATATCAATTCAATAAAAAATTACAATACATGTAATCAACAAATCAACGTCACCATGACAACCATAAAAAAGTGTATAAAATGTACAAAGGAGTCCGTAACAGTCCCATTGTCACCAAGAAGTCAAAATCTGATAAGGGGATCGAAAAAAGCCAATAAGCAAATTTTAGAAGACAGTTTTTTTCCAAGAAGTTATATTATTCATTTTTGTAACTCGCATTGTTACAAATTGTATTAAAAAAACCAAGGTATTTATGATAATTCTATACAAAATTAGGTATTATATAGGTATATATATATAAACCCTGCACCAGTAATATAATGTGGACATTTTCTATTATGTTTACAGTCACTTAAGACTTTACTCCAGGGTCATGGGCTGTAAAGGGATTATAGTCTTTAAGACCTACAAGGTCCATTGAAATTTCCCATAGTTTTTTTGCATACTCATCATTGCGACCATTGTGAGATGGGCTGGTGACCACACAGTCACTGTGAACAAAAATAATTTATATGATATTACACAATTCCATAATATATGTATACATCCAATGCCATAATAAGAAGTCACAAAAATATTTTTATACTTTAATTTGATATAAGATTTACCTGTAATATAATCCAGTTTCATTTGCACATTTCTCATCTACTGAACAATATATGGTTGTTTGAGCTCCCAGTTCTGGACTTTTAAGAAATGGTCCAAAAACAGTACCTATGAGTAAGCGTGCTCCTCGGAACAGTGTCTCATCAAGGTGACGACCCAGCTCTGTTTTTATTACACCTGGATGCAAACAGTATGTGTTCACACCGTCTATATTGTGCTCCTGAAAATAATTATACCAATAGACTGGTTGAGAAGCTAATGTGTGTTAGATTTAGCCATGTTATAGAATATTCTACTTATAGAATATAATCTAAAAGTACCTTGTTAGTCTTCTTATACTATTTTTTCTGCATGGATTTATTTACCTTTAGTTTGGCTGCCAGTTCTTTTGAAAACAATACATTGGCCAGTTTGCTTTGCGAATAAGCTTCAGCGGCATTGTATCGTCTCACCTTGAAATTTAAATCATCCAATTTCATACCATTTCCTAAAAATGATGAAGGAGTATTAAAATTTCATATTTCAAATTATAAGGCAATTTTGCTATTTTAATTTCTCACTTGTATGAGCTTTAGAGGAAACAGTGACAATTCTCGCTGGTTTACTGTTTCGTAGTCTGGGTAGTAAAAGCAAAGTCAAAAGGAAATGTGCCAAATGATTTGTCCCAAGCTGTGTTTCAAATCCATCTTCGGTTTCTCCTTTGGGGCACATCATAATTCCAGCATTGTTCACTAGTATATTAACCTGCGGCTCATTATCCAGAATCTTTTTGGCAAAATCTCGCACTGAATTGAGTGAAGCCAGGTCACATTTCTCCAAAACCAATTTACCGGACTCTGGAAGATCTTTGCATTTGTTTTCTATGTCTTTTTTTGCCTCTTCTCCTTTGTCCAAATTGCGACAAGCCATTATTACTTTAGCGCCTAAAAAAGTTAAAGCATTTTTTAAAGGTAAGACGCACATGAAATTAATCTTATGTCCATTGACCATGTGTAATAACAGATTTTTAAACATTTAGATACCTCTTTTGTAGAAATCTAAAGCAGTTTCTTTGCCGATCCCAGTGTTACATCCCGTTATTATAGCAGTTTTTCCAATAAGTTTCACTGCGCTTGTACACCGGCCACTGAACCATGGCATATTGGTAATTTCACAACAGATAACAATCACTTAAATATGAAATTGTATTAATAAAATATTATTTGTCGAATACAGTTGTACATTAATTGAAACAAAAGAAATCTAACTTACGGAAACTTTTTTCGAGTCCCTATATTGCCCAACACAGTAATGCTCGACACGAGAATGTCCACCCCAGGAATGCGCGACACAAGAATCCGATGCATACGGCCTCTGATTGGCTGCGTGATCTGTACTCCTATTGGTGAAATCTGTCTGACAGTTCACGAAAAGACGTGGGTCGTGTTCACAATGAAGCTCAAATTGAGCTCAAATTAAGCGTCAAACGTCAAAAATTATAACCTTTGCGATAATAAATGGTATAAAATTTTTCGGTATTTTCAAACTAAACCCCCGGAGTGTTCCTCCTCTCCGCTGTAGGTGGGGGTACGGTCGGGTACGCTATTCCACTCGTCCGCGCCCCCACCAGCGGATGGCCGCGCTTTGTGCAGCCCCTCCCCGAGAAGGGAGACACATCAGTTCCCCGACTCCGAATGTGAGACTCGCCGAACACCAGACGAGCTTTCCATCCCGGGCCCCCCTCTATGCTGGGCAACGAACTCCCCCGAGTCCGCTACCCAGGGGCCATGGGGGGCCTAGACAGCATCTACTCAACAGTGAAGGTGAGTGGCTGCTCCCCCAGCCCCCGTGGCGGATCTGATGGCAGGCTCCACCGCATCACCTAATTTGCATCCGAGCGGACTCTCCCGAAGAGAGTCACTTGGAGCGTCCACCACGGGCCAACCGCCCAAGTTCGGCCGCGGAGGATAGGACGAGCGGCAACGACCGAACGATAGTCCGTCGCGCTGGTTTAATGCGGGCTGGGGACTTCACACGTTTCTCGAGGGTTGTGAACCTTCTTCAACGTGCAGGTTTCATCACGATGTTTTTCTTCACCGAAAAGCTCAAGCTAAATTTGAAATTAAATTTCGCACATAAATTCTGAGAAACTCAGAGGTGCGAGCCCGGATTCGAACCCACGACCCTCTGTTTGAGAGGCAGTAGGTCAAACCATTAGGCTACCACGGCTTTTTTTTTAATAAATATAAAAGGTTAAAAATACATTAAACGAAATAAATATACTTTGTAAGTAGCTGAAACACTAACCCCGGAAAGCCAAGAAAGAAAAAAATCTATAGACGGAAATGATGTCGCGTTTTATTGTTTACAATACGAAATTGTTATTGATTGACACTACTATTGTAAAAACCCCTTCTAAATAATATTTAAAATTTAATACAAATATTATGAGTGTATAAAAAAATAAATAAAACGTACAAATATTTTGACAAATTTACAACACTCGATATCATGACAGTGAATTTTGAAACGCAAGATCGCGTCGGCGTGCCTTTTTCACACAATTTTGGCAATATATAGTTGTCAAATGCGCTTTTTTGCTTCGATTTTTCACTATCTTCAAATATTCCAAAAACTGAAGATTGGTAGGTGGATTACATTAGACTAGATTTATTTTCAAAAAAAATTTGAACTCTCAACTCGACGTCAGCTATTCTAAAGCTGAGCCTCTATATCAGAATTTTTAAATCGAATCGTCGCAATTGCCGACGATTTACCCTTGCAATTTAATGTAAAGGAGAAATCCTTTAAAATCCTTTTTTTTTTAAGAAACATCAAACTCTGTTTAAAAGAAAATTGAACAGATGAAACCCATTATAATGCCAAACTTCTTTCGAGAGTTAATGTTAAAGGTAAAGTTTATTGATACTGGGATCATAAGAAGGCAAAAGCCTAGCATTTTGCACGACTTAACCATCACTACGTTCGCCGAGTAGAAAATTGCATTTTTATTATACAACAAAAGGTCCACTAATAATTTTTCAAAATAACTAAAAAAGTTAATACGAAGAGAGGGCCAATAGTATACAACAAGTAATAAAAAATAAAAGTTCATTATAATAAACTTTATTATTAGATAAAAGTTTAGCATACGAAAAGAAAAAAGTGCTCTGTTATTGCCCTGAACTTAAAGATTAAGTTACGTGATAATACGCCGTGGTAATTTATTACTTAGATAATATTTTTAAGGTTAATAGTAGTAGTGTAGTGTAGTAGTACCAAATTGCTAAAACAAAAAGCATTCAATTTTGGGTAACACTGGATCAGCCAGCTCACAGACTCTACGATAAATTGAGTTTATTTTCTTTTTCAAATTCAATCAATAAACCAAAACAGATACGAAGCGTTTCAAAAAAAGTACAAAAGTATTCAAAGGGGAAAGAAGTATGTATGCTTAGCTTTCTGCTGTTTATTTTTCGTTGGAAGTGGTTCTTCATTTTACCGTGGCTTTTAAAAAGGGTAAAAATAAGTTCTTAAAACCGCTAGGCAGCAGTTGCTAAAAAGTAAAAATTAAAAGAGAAGAATAAAATTGTGGAAGATCTGACATCACACTGTGAACAAAGCCTATCAAAAATGATGATACCACGTGACCTGTGTCTCCAATTCCTGGGCCGGACATTCCTGTGCTGGACATTCTTGTGTTGTACATTACTGTGTTGTACATTGACGGCTCCCGATCTATTGTACTTTTTGTTGACAGGACGTGACGTGACATTAGCGATGTGCGATAGTTGCTAAAAATAATTGAATTATCCGATTATAAACATAATCGAAATAATTGAAAATATGTTGACTAACCATTATGCTATAAGCACCGGTTTGGATACCTAAGATACAAGTAAGCAATTTTACTTAGTTTAGGAATCACCTTTTTTTTTTTTTTATATTCCGAGGGAATCTGCTTACAGATACCCCGGCCCCGCGGGGGCAGAGCCGGGGTTATGTGGGACTGGGCTGAACCCTGAAGGGGAGCAGCCCGACCGCACTAAACCCCCGGAGTGTTCCTCCCCTCCGCTGTAGGTGGGGGTACGGGTACGCTGTTGCACTCGTCCGCGCCCCCACCAGCGGCTGGCCGCGCCCTGCGCAGCCCCTCCTCGAGAAGGGAGACACATCGGTCCCCCGACTCCGAATGTGAGGCTCGCCGAACACCAGACGAGCCTTCCATCCCGGGCCCCTTTATGCTGGGCAACGAACTCCCCCGAGTCCGCTACCCAGGGGCCATGGGGGGCCAGGACAGCATCCACTCAACTGTGAAGTTCAGTGGTTGCTCTCCCAGCCCCCGCGGCGGATCTGATGACAGGCTCCGCCGCAACACCTAACGCGCTTCCGCGCGGACTCTCCGAAGAGAGTCCCTTGGAGCGCCCACCACGGGCCAACCGCCCACGTTCGGCCGCGGAGGATAGGACGAGCGGCAACGACACACCGACACGTCTCTTCCCCCGCGGCCCCGCCGCCACTGCATCATTAAAAGCGGTGCAGCCCCGCCAGGGTCGCGGAGGACAGGACGAGCGGCAACGACACACCGACACGTCTCTCCCCCCGCGACCCTCCTCCTCGCGCATCCGCGCGGTCCCGGTGACCAGACGAGCCCGCGCGGAACGCCCTCCTCCTCGGGCCAGCCTACCACCATCGGCCAGCCCAGATTAACGTGCACTACTAACCTTAATTAAAGTTATGTAAATATACAATACTATCACTATTTGCGATAGTCTGGCGCATATGTGTAAATAAAAGGTTATTTAATAAGATTCATGTATTTAGGTTAAATTTTTATACAGAATAAATCTTCTATATCTTTATCTTTAATTTGATTCTTAATATGAATTAGTTACCACCTTGTTACTACACTTAACTAATTTTTTTAACTTGTTACTACAGTTAACTTTTTGATGTTGATCAAATATCGATTGTGAATCGAAATAGTTATTAATCTACTAGTTACTAATTTTTGATCAAATATCGTAATAGTAATAGAATTGACTGTTAATAAATTAGTAATAGGATCGATTACTAATACCAGTTAAATAAGTAATGTGATCGATTTTTTTTTACATTCAGTGGCATGGAAATTATAATAATAATAATAATAATAACTCATAAACTCGACATAGCCCCGCACTAGGGACACCACACACATAGACAAGCCCAAATTATACCCAAACTCACGAGAGAAAGAAATGTACGTCATTCAAATATTTTACGTTGTAATCGTTGAGACTCGCTATTCGATATTCGTTATGCGGTTTTACTGACGGTATCGATTTTGTCGGCAAATGCTATTCGTACACTACTTTAACCGATCATAACGACAATTCGGTTCGATACGTTCGTTAAGTTTTGTTAAGATTCGATATTTTTATCGGCTCTTCGAGGGCACCAACGACGCGCTTTCTTCTTACATTTCACTGTTAGATATTTGTGTTTTGATCGCATTAAGTGGAAAAAATTCACGTTTTGCCTTAAGGTAAGCTAAAATGTTTCGTAATTGAAAGGGACTTGTTCTTGGCTGTGTCTGTGAATTGTACAGGTATTACCGCAGTCATTTTAAAGAGTTGATTCACAAAGAGTACGGCAGATATTTGCAGAATGTTGAGCAGAACATTTGTCGTGATAGCAAAGCATTTTGGAAGTATGTGAAGGAACGACGTTGCGATCGGTGGCAATGCAGTGAGTATCAGTATAAAGGTAAATTGGTAGCCGGTAAGGATGCAGCTGATGCATTTGCGGATTACTTTAACTCCGTTTTTCATAGCGGTATTCCTATCCTCAGTGTGGAGGATGCTGAAAGCAAAGCCAACATAGATGTGGGTGCTTTGAGGGTTTGCGTCGACCGAGTAACGCCCACAGAACTAAGGAATGCGATTCGCCGTCTTAAGCCCTTTTCTTCGTGTGGTCCAGATGCTATACCCCCCTATATTGTGAAGGATTGTTCTTCGGCCTTAGAAATTCCACTATTATACATTTATAATCTTTGTTTAAAGAACTGTGTCTACCCTGCAAAATGGAAATTATCGAAGGTAACACCCATTCCGAAAAAAAAAATGTCTATCGATGTAATGGCCTACAGACCTATCGCGGTATTATCAGTTTTTGGCAAGATTTTTGAAATAATTATGAGTGGTGCCATTGTCCAGCAGATTGGCACACGTTTGGATGACGCACAGCATGGGTTTCGCACAGCGCGCTCAACTACGACTAACCAGGTGCGATTTGTCGATTATGTTGCGGCCCAAATGGATGCTAGCCACCAGGTTGACGCCGCGTTCTTTGACTTTAGAAAAGCATTCGATCTGGTGGATAACGATATTCTTTTGCGGAAACTTTCTGCACTTGGGTTTATTCGGAAACTACTCAGGTTCTTTGCTGACTATTTTCGGGATCGTAAGCAATATATACAGCTGGCGTCATATGAATCAGAGGAATACTATACTCGGTCTGGTGTCAGTCAGGGGAGTACCCTTGGACCCCTTCTATTTCTCCTCATGATTAATGACCTTCCACGGGTATTATCCGCATCGAATTGCCTCATGTTTGCGGATGACTTAAAATTGTTTTATTCTGTCTCGAAAGTTACTGATTGTGAAGATTTGCAGAGAGATATTGCGGCTGTGGCAAGGTGGAGTGTTATCAACAAGCTCCCATTTAATGCTTCCAAGTGCCAAGTTATAACATTCACTAGGTCTTTTAAACCAATCGTATTTAAATACGACCTCAACGGCTTGGTTCTTGCGCGAGTTGACAGCATCAGGGATCTTGGAGTGACTCTGGATTCAAGACTCAACTTCCATGATCATATAGTGGCCTCTTGTAAATGTGCAAGCAGAACAATGGGCTTTATCATGCGTGTTGCTTCGCAATTTCAGAATTCCAGGATCGCGGTAATGTTGTACAATGCCTATGTTCGTTCTAAATTGGAATACAATTCTGTGGTCTGGGATCCCTGGGAAGAAAAATATGAACTTATGCTAGAGAGGATACAGAGACAGTTCTGTAGGTATCTGTATAAAAGGGAATACGGGTACTATCCACTGCTTTACCCGTCCAAATATGTTTTGGGCATGGTAGGGTTTGAGACCTTACAGTTTAGGCGGAAACGAAATCTTCTAATACATTACAGCAGAGTTCTTAGAAGTAATATAGATAGCCCAGTAGTACTGCAGTCGATTCGTTTATTTGTGCCTCAAAATTATACTCGATTGGGTGCTCGGCGCCGTCTTGAGTTGTTTGCGTTCCCGGTCGGTGTACGCACAGACCACGCCCGCAACTCCCCCACGCCTCGAGCTCTTGCCTTGCTCAACACTCTCCTGGATGAGGTCCGGGATGCTGATGTGCTCACCGACAAATTAACAACTTTAATAACTTATTTTGACATTTTTTTAAATAACTATTTGACATGATCATAGTATATTCTTGGCATGATTGTTATTATTATTTGTTGTATTATTTTCTGTTTTATTTTTGTTGACATTATAATTTTATGTATTGACTGCTTTTATGACTAACATTGTGAGTGCTTTGGGTTACTCTGTAAACTCACAATGTGTACTTTAAATAAATAAATAAATAAATAAATAAACAGGTTAGTGACCTAACGGTTTTTATGAAAAATTTTATGCAACAAAATGTGCAAAATGTGGGGGTGTCGGAACAACAGACACGTGTGGTATCCGAGTCTAGTACCTCGCAAGTACCCGACACTGCACCTCAATTAGCCACTGTGCCACAATCTTGTACACTAGTTGAGGGAAATGATGACGATTTTTCCTTCCAATCTCTACAAACTACACTGAAGGACACTGGTGTAGGCAAAACCTACCATGAACGATTTGAGTTAATGAATTCTTTACGGCTTTTTGGGTCCCCTGATTGGCTCAACATAAATTTCATTGAAACTCAAAAGACTTATTTATCTAAACCGGGTTTTGTTGAATTGGAATCCAATGATGATCTGAAACCTTTCGATAAAAACAAGTTTCTACCCTCTTGTGAACGTACTTTATCTGCTTTGTCTAACGCTGTATTATTACAAAGAAATATTTTACAACAGAATGTTACTTCCTTATTTTCATGGGTACGAGAACTTCAGGTAATTAATTACGATGCATTTTCTAGCAAAGTTAAGGAATTATTTAACGAAGATAAAACATACAATAAAATTTCCAACGACATCATGCACATTATTTGTGGGAAAAGGGCGTCAATAATAAATAATCGAAGAAATGAATTGTTGAAGTCCATTCTAAATAATTATATGGTAAAAAATTCAAAAAGATATCCCCATCTTCTGAATTTTTATTTGAACCAGAACAATTTTCTAAATTGCTTGACAGAGAAGGTGGTCCATCATAAGTGCTTGCTAAACCACAACCGGCAAAAAGAAATTTGTCTTTTTCGTCTACATCTAAAGGTCAGATCAAATTCCCTTTGAAAAACCAATTCATACAACCCTTTCGTACACCCAACACAGAGCCTTCAGGGAGTTCAAAGCCTAGGGGGTTGGCGGCGTCTCGTGGAAAACGAAAGCACGAGCCTAGAAGGTCTCGCGAGCGTCGTCAAATCGATTCCAAGAGACGCCGCTATGATTGACTCACATCGCTTCGAAGCGGGTCGCCTACAACACTTTTATCACAGGTGGGTGGCTCTAAGAGCTCCTCCAGTTATATTGAAAATGATTTCCAATCTTCGAATACCATTTATAAGAAAGCCCCCTCTATTGATACCAGATTTGGATACTTACCAAACATCAGACTCTCCCCAAATGGCTGCAGAAATTCGGGCAATGTTAGATTTAAAGGTCTTAGAACTAGCGGAAGTAAGTCCCAGTTTTGTGTCACCGATGTTTTTAATTCAAAAAGCAGACCTTTCCTTCCGACCGATTTTCGACCGAATTTTACCTTATATCTCATTTCGAGATTCCAAATTTTCTGCAACCGGGAGACTGGATGACGAAAATCGATATGTCGCAAGCGTATTTTCACGTAAACGTCACGCCACCTCACCGTCGTTTCCTAAGATTAATATTCAGACATGTACTTTACCAAATGACCTGCCTTCCATTCGGTATAGCATGTACCCTGAGGTGTTTTGCAATGTTAACAAACTTTGTGGCGCAGAGACTGCGAGAGGCGGGTGTCCGTATTGTAGTTTATCTCGACGATTTTCTGATTGTCAATCAAGATCGATGTTTGCTTCAGCGGCAAACTTCTTTAATCATAGAATTTCTTCAGGCTCTAGGATGGATTCTCAATTTCAAAAAATCTATTATGAATCCCACACAAAACATCGAATTCTTAGGAATTCAATGGAATACCCTACAGAACGAAAAAATCTTCCTCCCAAGAAGATAGTAAAACTACAAAAGGAGTTTCAGCGACTTCTTTTGAAGAAGACCTGCTCTCTCAGCGAAGCGAGATCCGTTCTGGGGCGATTAAATTTTGCCAATTACGTAGTGCCACAGGGTCGATTACATTGCCGCCACTTTCAACGTCACCTTCGCACGTTACCCAAGGGAACGCATCCAAGGCAGCAATACATGTTGCCGAAGGACGTCCTGTTGGATCTACAGTGGTGGCGGCGTGCGGTAAGCAATTTTTCTATGATTCATTTACCACAGATTACTCACTATCTAGTAACCGATGCTTCCAATTACGGTTGGGGAGCCCTACTAAACGACACGTGTCTTGCCGGGACCTGGGAACCTTACCAACAAACTTGGCACAGCAACCTCAAGGAGCTAGTAGCGATCCAGAGAGCGATAGAATCAAATACAGAGGGCTTACGCGGGGCCAGTTTGCTGATTCAGTCAGACAATGTAACGGCTCTCGCGTACTTAAGGAACGAAGGGGGCACGAAGTCATCAAAATTAATGAGTCAAACCCGCCAGGTATGTCAACTAATTCAAGACTTACAGATTGTACTTACTTATCAACATCTACCAGGACGTTTCAACTGTGTGGCCGATCGACTGTCTCGAGGCAAATCGATACCAGAGTGGCATCTCCAGCCAGGTACCAGAAGCGACAGACAAAATATTTCAAAAATTCGGTATACCTCAGGTGGATCTCTTTGCATCAGCGCGAGCCCACGTAGTTCCCCAATACGCGTCCCAAGACCCGAGGGACGAGGCCGCTCTATTCCACAATGCCTTCAGCAGGCGATGGGAGTACCAACTAGCTTGGGTGTTTCCTCCTCCATCACTCATGCCTCGGGTTTTGACTCACCTAAACAATTGCAGAGGCCAATATATTGTAGTAGCCCCCCACTGGATAAAGTCGTTTTGGAGACCAGATCTACGGAACAGAGCCCTCAGCAGGCCAGTTCTAATACACGACCTACAGAGAACTCTAATAGACGTAACTACCAACCTACCGCTCCCCAAGGTAACCGATTTGATATTGAAAGCTTGGCTGATTGGAGCTGGGACACTTTACTGAAAAATTGGACCCCAGCAGAGAAGGCCGTATTGATGAACGGGTGGCGGAAATCTACTTTGATGTCATATAAACCGGCCTGGAATCGATGGGTAAAGTGGTGTTTAAAAAACGAAGTTTCCATTATTACACCGCAAGCAAAAGACCTCGCCAAGTTCCTCGCAGATCTCCATATTACAGAAAAGCTTGCCCCATCAACCATACAGTTACATAAATCTGTTGTTTCCACTATTTGCGAACCGCATTTGAGTAAAAAATTAAGTCAAGACACATTTGTGCGGCGAGTGCTAAAATCTGTTTCAGTAGCACGCCCCATTAATAGGAAAGTCCCCATTTGGGACCCGCAACAGGTTGTACAATGGCTTCAAAACAATGTGCCGATTAATATTTCATTTTTCGAAGCGTGTCGGCGTTGTGCTACAATATTATTACTTACATCGGGAAGAAGAGTTCATGATTTAACATTGTTATCCATTTCACCAGGTCACATACAAGAGGATAATACTAACATTATTTTGTGGCCAATATTTGGTTCGAAAACAGACTCCGCACAACACCAACAATCGGGATGGAAACTTAGCCCTCATGATGTTCAAGCAATTTGCCCTGTCTACTAGGTAAAAAAGGTCATTGAACTGTCGACATCAAGAAGAGGCTCACTTCAACAACTATTCATCACGACTCGGGGAACGCCGAAGCCTGCCTCCAGGACGGTAATTGGCGGTTGGGTAAGAACTGTTCTTAAATCTGCAGGTGTAGACGCTGCTCCTGGCAGCAGTCGCTCTGCAGTTGCCTCTTACAACTGGCTATGTAACGTCCCATTAGACACCATACTCGAGAAAGGTGACTGGAGACGGGTTTCGACTTTCCATAAACATTACTGTAGCAAAATAAATAAGACTATCAGTGCTAATAATAACACATCAAATGTATCAAATTTATTTAATCCAATTTAGAATATTATTGAATTATTTACAAATGCATGCTTAATACGTAATTGTTTTCTATTTATCAAATTATACAATGTTTCTTACAGAATGTTAGTTTCCTTACAAACTATAATACAAAGATAAACACTAAATAATCTTTCTTTTAAACAGTATGAAAACTAACGATTCACTTGATTTCTATCACATGACATTCACTTATTCACTGTAGTCCGTGTTCTCTATTTAGCTCATCACACCTCTCACCAGGTGGTAACAAACACTTCTCACCAAACCCGGACAAGGCGAGGAATGCACAATGATAAGGTTTTACCTACCAATAAAACCGCCATTGTGCTCCGAGCCTTGTCCGGGCAATTTAAATTGCACCTGGTGAGAACAATGAGGAAAACCGCGTGTCGAGTTTGAACAACGGCCACCGCACCCCCGCTCTAAAGGAGGGGTGAGCAGCGTGGTGGTAAGGATCCAACAACCAATCGGAGGGCAGAAGGAGAAATTCAGTGTTGCCACTTGTCAAATCGTGTTTTGTACCAAAAATTCATCAATAGCTCTCTCACCAAACCCGGACAAGGCTCGGAGCACAATGGCGGTTTTATTGGTAGGTAAAACCTTATCATTTTTTTCCATCCTCTAAGGTAAATATCTGATGAGTTGAGAATTTACTAGGGAAACGTCGCTCACCTTAACCTATACAATCGCATCACGACATAAACAAGTGATTACAAGACACAGCCAAGAACAAGTCCCTTTCAATTACGAAATATTTTGGCTTACCTTAAGGCAAAAAGTGAATTTTTTACACTTAATGCAATCAAAACACAAATATCTAACAGTGAAATGTAAGAACAAAGCTCGTCGTTAAGCATACCGACGTAAACAGGTTGCCCTCGAAGAGCCGATAAAAATACTGAATCTTCACAAAACTTAACGAACGTATCGAACCGAATTGTCATTATGATCGGTTACAGTCGTGTACAGAATAGCGTTTGTCGACAAAATCGGTACCGTCGGTAAAACCGCAAAACGAATATCGAATAGCGAGTCTCAACGATTACAGAATACTCGGTAAAACCGCAAAACGAATATCGAATAGCGAGTCTCAACGATTACAGAATACCGCTCCAAATCTCCGAAGAATTAACAAATTTCCGGTTAAGTTTTCATGCAAACCAGGCGTGTCGCTGCTATCATTCAAGTGGACTATTTCAAATAACAAAAAGGTAGTTTTTTTTTTCTATTTTGAAAATCGCTAATTAATAAAAATGTATGCTTTACGTTATCGTGAAACTAAGAAACCAACTTAAATAGTTATCTGGAAATGAAATAATAATTGTTTATCGTCGCTGCGCGTGCGAGACCGCGTAATAAGAGCAACTTGTAAATACCGCGTATGTGTTTTTTGATGATTTTACAGGAGGAGGAAAAACTTGATTATCTCAGCGATTTCAATTCTTATTAGCGACTGAA